TTGGGCTGTTACATTTGGTATCAGAGCCGGGGCCCGGATCGGTGTGCCAGCGAGGGCGCTGGACTCCCTTGAGGGGGGGTGGATATAGTCCCACATCGGTTAGGAAGGAGAACGAAGCATGCCATATATATGGGTGTGGATACCTTCCTTGTGAGGAGGCCTTTTGGGGTGGCATGCGTGTCATCGCCAAGAGCAAAACCGTGCGGCCGTGGGCCAAAGCGGACAATATCCTCATGCGGGTTGCTTGGGCTGTTACATCACATGGTCTTGTCTATTTACACCAAACACACCATGCCACGTGGCAAGCTCTTATTGATTCTTCTCAATCTAGGATGGTGGCATAAGTCACACTTTCCTTGCTTTGCCACATGGCAAGCTCTCATTTGTCATTCTAGATATAAGATAGTGACACTTGGAGCTTGGTTGACTGAATAGGAACTCTAGACTAAGGTTAGTAGTTTTGAGTTCAAGTTAACCTAACTTAAGTTATTTTTAACCTAGGTTAACTTAGCTTGCACCACAAACTACTAACTGCTCCTATATATAGGGTTTTCCTCATATGACTAAATCACTTTTGAAGAATTGTGAGAAATAACATTGAGTTTTCTTCTTCCAAAAGTCTTAGTTCTTTCTCTTAAAGACACTTCTCCTTAAGAACTTTTATCATGGATTTTCTCTTTGTGGCAAGTTAGCACTCTTGCTTATCTTCCCTTGGAAGTGATACACCAAACTTCTATCCTCTCCACCATTTGATGTTTGTTTTGAAGCTTTTTGGATTACATGGAAAAAGATTAAGAACACCTTGAAGCTAGTTGAGGATTCCACCAATCATCTTCAACCTAATTTCATCAACTAGTGAATAGTATGGTAACCATAATGCAAGTATCATTTTAATGATCTTCTTCAAGCATCAATATATGGACATTTCAAAATATGAATCAGAAATCAATTAACTTAAATGGACCTCAGCCTGTGGTTGTAGGTGAAGTAGATGATGTTGCTACGTATTCTTTAAAGGAGAAATTTCAAGATAGGGATACACAAATATAAAGAGTACTTAAAGACTAGTAATATATTTTATAATAGTACTTTGCAATTACCATCTTACCGAGATGAGAAACAACAGCCATCAAGTATAGGTCATCTTTTCTTTTCACAGATGCTCCAAATTGCTCAGTCATGTCCAAGTCCTCACTTTTCATTCCGTTCGGAAGCTTCCAATCAAAATGATACAACAAAAATGCAAGGGTTTCTTCAACACTTGCTAATCCATAGGTGATGCCTGGACATATTCTTCTTCCAGCACCAAATGGAATGTACTCAAAATTACTCCCTTTGTAATCAATAGAGCTATCAATGAATCTCTCTGGATAAAACCTGTCAGGTTCAGTCCAGTTTTTTGGATCCCTTCCGATAGCCCAAGCATTGATAAGGATCTTACTTTTGACTGGTACATGATACCCATCGATCTCACATGTTTGTCCACATTCTCTTGGAAGTAAAAGAGGAGTTGGAGGGTGTAACCTTAAAGTCTCTTTCACAACTGATTTCAAATACTTGAGTTCATTGATGCAAATTTCATCAACCTTTTCTTTAATGTTGAACACCTCTCTCACTTCAACTTGTGCTTTCTTCATTACTCTTGGATTCCTTATCATTTCTGCCATTGCCCAATTTATGGTAGTTGATTCTGCTTCACCTCCTCCAGTAAAGATGTCCTGCAAAATATATAGTTACTTATTTGTGAGTTTTAATGCATAGATTTTTGAATAAATAATTACGGATTTGATTTTTTTTTTAAATGAGAGTGAAAATTAGATTATAAATTGCAATTACAATCATTAATCGAATGTTAACTTTTTAGATCGTAAAACGTTGCATATGCATTATAACAAACTTTGTTGTTAAATACCTCAGAGTTGACTTCCCCATTAGTAGCTAACTAGTTATAACTTTCTACAAATCCTCTTTTAAGACACTGATGCAAATTTTTATAGAAATAAATATACTAGAAACTAACAAATACATACAGTATCGTGATTTTTTCAAGAAGAAAGAAGCCAGAAAGGTCAAATAAATTGCAGAAGAATTAGTTACAGATTTTACTATAATTTTTTACATACAAGAAATTATTAAATTAAAAATACTTTTAAAAGTTTTTCTATTTAAAAGTAAAGAAAATTTTTTAATAATTTTTTTAAAAACCACTTATAAATTTGTATTTAATCAAACTTTAAATTCACATTCACCGCCATTTATAAGGTAGTGCATGACGCGTAAATGAGCCTATAATAGGCATCTTATCAAATTAATTGCAAATTGCAGCTTCAGTGATAATAAAATCTCTCTTTCTAGAAGCATTCAACTGACGTCCCAATGTACTATTCAACTGTTCAAAAATCACGATTTCTACAATTTATTTTCTAAAACTAACATTTATATATATACACATTCGATTATTTATTAGGTGTAAATATATCCTCCAACTATTTAAAAAAAAAATGAACTATATGTTACATTATTTTAAAAATATTTTCTCAAACACTATATATATATATATATATATATATATATATATCTTTAG